TCCATCACCTCTATCTCAATATGAACTAAAACCCTAGGGAAAAAGATCATCCCATATATTACTAGAGCAAACACTTTCATTCCTTGATCATCATCTAGATGTTTGACAATAAAGTCTCAGAGAAACTCCCATGGATACCCTTATGCTTTCTCTTTTCTTGGATATGTTGAATTTATAAACTTTTTTTTTTCATCTCTAAAATATGAGCCAGATTTTTGCCATACCATGATTTTTTTTTTCTTTATATACACTCTATTTGGATACTATAGATGCATACCTACCAGAGTCAAAAACTCTTTTATTGTTGGCACTAAATCAACCTCATTAAAGATGAAACAATGATATGAAAGATCCCAAAATTATACCATCACTTTAATGAGTGAGTTTTTAACCTTCATTGATAAGAAATGTGCAATATGCCCAAACTTCTGACAAAAAGCTTATTGTCTTAAAAGAACCATGCTGTTCCATATATCTAATAGGCTTTTTGTATCATTTTATTTGAAGAGCAAATGAACTTCCTTTGGTAAAGTAGAGACATAACTGGGTGGTAAACAATCCCTTTCTTCTTATTGCCTTTTTTCTGATTCTATCATCACATCTATAAGCTAATCATATTTGAAAATTACAGACGATGCACAAACTTGACATTCTATGGGTTTCATGATGACTTTTGTTGAAAATATTTTTAGGGCAAAAATAATATGCAATCTACATGTACGTTTATAAATGTACACAAGAGGAAAAAAAATAAAAAGACAAAAAAATCGATTAGTCATCCTAATATAAAATAAAGAATAAACACTACAAAAGCAAGTAAAATAACAGCATGACTTTAAATTTTAGATTACTACAAAAGGTGGAGGGACACGACCCTATCTATGGGTTAGGCTCTTAAGGTTAACTATATGTGGCTTGAATTATTTAAACACTCCCAAATTGTTCATTACATCATTATCCATCACAAACTAGTAAGGCATCATGATCCTTGCCCACCATAGGCTATAAGTGGAAAGAGTTTAATCTAAGTAGGAGTGTTTGGCTAGCCCATACGAAGACATGAAATCTCACAAAGGCATAGGTACTTCACTTCCTCCCAAGGGACAAAACTCGAGTGTAAAGCTCATGTTATACACATATAAATAAATGACAAATATATATGAAAATGAATAAATGAATAACTAAACAAAATATAAGAAATGAAAAGAAAGAAATAGGAAAGAAAGACAAAAAAAAATCTTAAATTTATTAGGCAAGGCGTGGATAATAAGAAATCATTTATTGGTCTAACTCTCAATATCCCTAATGGAGTCACCAAATTATCATAACATATAAACTCGTAGATCTATCGCTAGATATAGTTTTTAGGAGTCGTCACCAATTTTTTTTATCAAGACGTGATTGACCACCTGATCGAATCTATCTTACTTAAAGAAGAGTCTCATTATTGACTTAGGTATCTTTAAATAGTAAATTCTAATCCACAAAATCAGATTTTAAGTTCAAGAGTACGATTATGTGTAATGAAAGTTATAGCACCCTCATAGCGGCCATCTAAAAGATGATACTAGTTTGATTTTAAATTATACAAGCCTTAAATATGTTTATAATTTATCAAAATATTTAATATTAAAAATTAATCTTAAAATTACTCTAATAGTTTGGTAGCAATTTAAAATAATTCTTTCACCTCAGAAGTATTCATGGAAACTAATGTCTCAAATTGAAAAGGCTTTGTCGTCAAGTTTATTAATATATTTTATCCAAGAAAATAATTAGTAAAGTCCTCCAACAGTTTGGTAAAGTTTACTTTGATGTAAATCTCCTAATAATTTGATTAGATTTTATTGTTAAATATTTAAAATTTCATTTTTGATAAAACTCATTAAATCTTCCAATAATTTGGTAAGATTTAACTTAAGATGCAATCCTCCAATAGTTTGGTAGATTCCATAAAGTTTAAATTCATGAAAAATCCTCTAATAGTTTGGTAAGATTCATGAATTTATTTGAAAAGAGTTTTTTCATCATTTTTTATTGTTTTCCAAAAGTAAAATAATAGAAGGAATTTTTACAAAATATTTATTAAGTAATAAATGTTGGATTATGGGGTCCAGTGATCTTTTTTAGGGACTCGGTATGTCGATTCATCTGGGTGAGGTATCTCATAGTGGATTGGATTTCGGTGTATGACAACTCAGCCTGTTGAGGCCTAATGGGTGACGTATCCCATGAAAACTTTGCAAAGCCCCTTATGTCCACCTGTTGCTTAGTATGGGGCTCTACGCTACCAAAAGAGAATAAGGAAATAGAGTTGCACCTTCACTATCAGCTATAGCTTTTGGTGTAATAGTAAGCGTTTGATCTTGAAAACAAATATTGTTAGCCTTGAATTGATCGTTATTTTGAAATGAAAAAACATTAAGCTAAATAAGCTTGATCAAGATTTTGAAAAAGATTTATTTAGTAAATGTTCTTAAGTTTTATATTTTGGTACTAAATAAACAATATGATATTAAAAGCTTAAACAAACCTTTTTTTGTTTTCATATTTCTCAAATCAAATCTATCTTTAAAGATTTTTTATTTGAGCTTAAATGAAAGTCCAATTGTTGTTTTTAAAGTGAACTTATTCATTTTAGACTTAATACAATTTTGATAATATTGGTTTTGAGAAATTGATTAACTTAAAAAAGCTGTTTTACAATAACAAAGTTTTCCAACATTAAACTTATTTTATTTTTTATATTAATTCACAAAGTTTTAATATTTGAATTTTATATGGTTGGAAAGCTTTTTGAGTCTAATTTCTAATGGATCAAACAAAATCTAAATCTAAATTTTCTAAGAAAAGATTTTGAATTTTTACTAGATACTCTGCAGTTGTTAGAAAAACTGCACAAGGGGTAATTTTGAAAATTCACTATAATTCGTACTCAATGAATTAGGTAATGAATTTATATGGATAGAAGCCCTTTAAGTCTAATTTCTAAATCTTCAAATAGTTTATGATTTGGATTTGTATAACTTAAGATATAATCAAATTAGTGAGTAGAGTACAAAATAGGAGATAACCACCCAGCCATTGATAAGATCGATCCCCTCATGGAAAAGATAGATCATGTCATGTTTTTTTAAGTATAAAATGACATAAAACTTGAACCAATCAATCCGCTTAAGGAAGGATCGATCGGGTCTGGACAGAATCACACCAATGGCTATTTTATGCTTTCAACGACTATTTTCTTCTCCCAAGCATCCCCAACGGCTATTCCTTCAATTTTTTATAAATTGGGCACTCCAACACACCAAAAAGATTGATGCATCAAGAGAGCAAGAGCCAACAAGACATATTTTCATTCTCTCAAATAATTAAGAGTTTTTAGTGCTACAAAATCTATATCTTTGTATTTATTGTATCCAAATTATATTTGTTGTTCATTCATCATTTTCTTGTACTTAAACTTAGCAAACACTTAGCCTTAGAGAGGTTGTTCTATTGTTTGCAAAATTACCTTTGTTATACAATGGTGAAAGAGAACATGAGGTGAGGTATCATCTTGAGAGCTTTGTAGTGAGATTGGATAAAATACTATAAAGGGTAGAGATTTCTATCTTAAGCCTTAAAAAGAAAAAGATAAGTTGTATTTTCAATTCAAGAATAGTGGATTGAAGCCTTAGTGTGGACAACCAAGAAGAGAGAACGTAGGTGCCTTGTAGAGAAAAATCGAACCTCTGTAAATCATTGTGTTTAATTTCTCTATCCCTATCTCCTTACAATTTATTTTTTTTTATATTTGATTTTAGGTTCAGTAATTGTTATTGTTTGTATTATATTTTCATCAAAAATGCTTATTGTTTTAATTTTCATTCAACTATATTGAAATTATTGTTTGAAAAGAATTTAGAGAAATCTAATTCACCACTTCTTGAATCACCATATCATTTAAAAAGCTAACAATAAATTACTCAATAAAAATTTTAAAAAATCTATAAAATTAAATAAATAATAAAAAACTTAAAATAAAAATAAAACTTAAAATATAAAATATAAAATGATATAAATAAATAAATTCAAAAAATAAAAATAAAATGAAAAAAAAAACTACGATCGAGTCGAATTGAACATGAGGGTCGCACACATGTCAACGGGTTGACGCGCAGATCCTAAGCTGGATGAAACGATGTCATTTGACAATCATATAAAAATCAACTCTTCATCCTTTTCTTTAGAAAAGTCTGGCCTTATCTCTCTCTAGCCAAATATCTCTTTATCTTCTCTCTAAAAACCCAAGAACATTAACCAAAAATTGGGCAACTCATCGATTTTTTAAAATTTTCATCAAAATTCTATCGAAAAATTCAAAGTCTTCCAAAAAATTCAATGAAAAATTTAAACCTTGAAACCCAATTTTTTAAAAATTTCCTAAAAATTTTTAAATTTTTTCAAAAATTCAAACTCCAATCCTAGAACTTGAATCCAAATCCATACACTTCAAACCTAAACCAGAAACTTCAAACTAAACCCAAAATTTGTAAATCCATAACCTTCTAACCTAGAAACTAAACTTAGAAATTTTTCATAATTTTAACAGTCTTTCCTCTAAAAAAAATCGATCATGTCTTGTTCTACAATATTGTATCTAATTTATAGTTAGTCCTCAGTAAAAATTTTAGGATTTAAACAAAACCAATCAAACTTAAATCCTGTAATTGAATTATGCCTGAATAAAATTAACTCAAGCCTAAATCTTGAAATTTGATCCTATTCAACGTGATTTTAGGCATAGATCTTGTAAATTGTCTGAGTTGAATTATAATTTTATGCAAAATTAAAATCACCTGATTTGACAAATTCAATTTTCTTATTCAGATCAAGAATAATAATAATAATAATAATAATAATAATAATAATATAATACTAGTAATAGTAACAACAAAACAATAATAATATTATTATTAATAATAAAAATAAAAATAATAGTAAAATAATCTACACCGATTGACCATCGACACATATGAATGGTTACACTTACCATGCAGTTGGACTATTGATTTATATGTTATCCAAGCGAGACCCACTTAAAAACTTGCGGGCAATAAGGGTTAACAGATTATCACTTCAGCCTCACTCACAATCTTTGGTTAAAACACGAAGCAAAATCCAACAATTGGGTGGGATAAGACGAAAGTGTCTTACAATTGGAAAACAAAACCTACTAATTGATCGAGACATGCTTCCGTTCCCGGTGATTCGAACTTGAAAAAAATATAACCAAGTCCATCTTTGAGCCATTAAAAATTTTTGCGGAAGAGATTATAGAGAACAGATAGCTAGCTGAGTTACTTGATTCTAATAACAAAAATTAAACAACACAAACAATGATCAGATAATTTCCTATGAGACCAGAATCTGTAGAAACCTGAATCATCATACTAGGTAATTATTCTGTGAAAACTCAAGTGCTAATGACTAATTTCCTCCCCTCCTAACTATTTTATTACTATTATATTCAACATTTTTGTACCTATTTGCTTCTATTTACGGAGGGAATACCCCAAAGTCTAAAACCCACAAAAATTAATGGACGTTTCACTAATGCATACCTGTGTATCCTAAAGCTAGAAATCCAAAACCCACTGCTCCCCCTAAAATAAAAATGGGGCCTGAAATTGGGACGCTCTTTCTTCAGTTGTAACCACGAAAAACTATAGCTACCTTGGCTGTTGATCGGATGCAGCTGCAGAAGAAATGGTAGGTCCAGCACCATTTTCAAGTGTCAGGGAGGAACCCCACTTTCCCTCTTCTGGTGGCTCCAAAACATGCACTCCGCCATCACTTAGTCCAAGTGCAAACTGATTAGGTTCAGATGGATGTGCTGCAACTACTACTGGATATACCCGAGCACTGCCAAATAATAATGTTAGTAACAATGCAAAAAGATTAACTACAGGAATGTTTTGTCAGATGTTAGCGAGGGCAAGGCATACCTAGGATTTGAAGGTAGATAGGCTCCAGGATTAATTCGACACCTGAGCTGCAGGGTTGTGGAAGTAAGAATACACACACTTGCATCCTCAAAGCTTGCATAGATGGTGTGGCTATCACATGAATACACAGCATCTGTTATTGAGCGACTTGATTCTCTGGGAATCCACTGTGACAAGAAATAAAATATACACAAGTTAATAACAATTTGTCATTGCAAAACTCAAAACTAGCTATTTCTGAAGCATGAGTAAATAGTGATTTCAAGAGACTAAAACTAATGGCAGGTTGCACTGTTGTAATGAAATAACTAAACAAGAGTTTAGATTTTTTTCATCTAGTAAAATTTTATTGCAAGGATGACATGATATAAGTAGGATATAAATGTGGTTTAACAAGAGAGATATAAAAGGGAGCATGGGATGATCAGGTACCAAATCAGATAATACTTGATCTCATTAAACATTTAAAAGATATATGTAGACTTAGTTGGTGCAAGTGTGTGACACCAACTCACCTAGTCAACTACAAATTACTCTAAATGACCTCTGCAATTACCTTTATCACCTTTAATAAGAAAAAATTTGCAATTATATAAGCGTAAAGCCTCAAACATGAAAGCACAATGTATCTACCTGCTTAAGGCACTCTAATTTTGGAGCTTCATATATGGCTATCTGTGTTCCGTGGACAGCAAGTACATGTATCTGGTCTTGGTGAAATTGAACTCGGGTCTGTCCAAGAGGGTTTGGCATATGAACACTAGGAAACTGCAAGAATTTGCTAGCCTGCTTTTCCCATCCATCCATGCTCCACACGCATAGCTGTAAACAAAAGATCTTAAAATTCAAGAATTCTAAAAGTTCACATCAGTGGTAAAACATAAATGTTAAAAGAAAAGACTAGCAATCTGCAAATAGCCTGCCTCTGCCTCCAACAGATCTAATTACCAGACACAAGTAAAAATCTGTCAACATTTCAATGATCCTACTAGTCACATATAACATACCTGTGCATCAGCTCCAGATGATACCAAAGCGTTTAAAACATTTGAAAATGCAAATCTGTTAACATTTCAATAATCCTACTACCAGTCACATATAACATACCTGTGCATCAGCTCCAGAAGATACCAAAACGTTTAAAACATTAGAAAATGCAAGACCGGTAACTCTCTTCTGATGACCTCTCAGCTTGGTTTTGACCTGTACAGAGCAATTTAAGTGTACAAATGTACTTCTATTATTTACTCAAAGTATTAAATTCTATGCTTAAAAAAAGTACCTCGTCAAGCCGGACATTGTAGATTTGAATTGAAGAGTCATCCATGCCAATGGCAATAACGTTGTTGTCCTGGGGATGGAAGGCAAGAAAAGTTGCAGCAGGTGGTGGAGCCATGAATGTTGTCATTGTCTGCCAAATAAATAAGCTCATATAAGAAAAATACCAGCAGTATGTATTACTCTACATGTCAAGCAAAAGGCCAAAAATATAAAATGACTCCATGAAACGTAAAATACCTTGAATGTCATCATGTTAAACAAGGAAATTTTACCCCCTGATGCTGACATGACATAAGAATCATTCTTAGAGAGAGCAAAGCATGGAACAGCATCTTCTTGGTTTGTCTCACGTAGATCATTGGTCATCAATATTCCACTAGAAGGTTGCCATAACTGTGGTGGTAAAGCACTAGTTGCCTAGAGGAACGAAAGCATTTGTAAAAAGGAGGTCCAATAGTAACTAGATGATAGACAGTGCAGTCTTCAAGAGGTATAAATACCTTTCCAGTAAGATTGCGCTCATTCTTCTGCCATTTCCACAATTTGTGTACAGCATTATCTGTCAATGCCAGTATGGCACCTCCTGAATTTGTATATATCATTCTAACAACCTGCATTGACATTGAAAAAATAGTTAGTGACAAGAGGTAAAGGATACGACTCACAATTTAAGCATTCGCTTCACGTCCAACCTTTCTCTTTAAAAAAGAAATTCAGTTTATTTATTTGTAAAAGCTTTCACACTTTGTAGGGCAAATTTTGGAGAACTGACAAACAATTGGGCTAAAACTTTCAGAAAAAAGATGAGGAAAAGAAAGTACAAATTCAAAGAGAAAAGCCAATTCTTTAGCCCAATCTTAAAAGCTTTTAAAAATCCCCAAAAATAAATAAATAAATAAAACATACACACACACCACAAACAGATTTAACTCTTTTACTCTAGAGTTTAATATTTTGGGATATCGATAGTACTATTTCGATCAAAATACTACCAACAAGCAAATAGTCAATGATGACTCGTTGAATAAAAATAAAACGATGGCTCAGCAGGTCCATGAGCATGTATAACAAAAAGTATACAATTTAAACCTTTATATCCTCATTTCAGACAGAACAGACCAGATCATAAAGTGTTTTCAAATTTTAGCAAAAAAAGAAAACCATAGTAATAAGTTTTGTGTTGGTATAAACAAATAGTCAATGATGACTCATTGAATAAAAATAAAATGATGGTTCAGTAGGTCCATAAGCCTGTAGAACAAAAAGTATACTATTTAGACCTTTATATCCTCATTTCAGACAGAAAGGACCAGATCATAAAGTGTTTTTCAAATTTCAGCAATAAAAAAAAACCCATAGTAATAAGTTATGTGTTGGAATAAACAAATAGTCAATGATGACTCATTTGAATAAAAATAAAACGAAGGGTCAGCAGGTCCATGAGCCTGTATAACAAAAAGTATACTATTTAAACCTTTATATCCTCATTTCAGACAGAACAGACCAGATCATAAAGTGTTTTTCAAATTTTAGCAAAAAAAGAAAACAATAGTAATCAGTTTCATGTTGGAATAAACAAAAGCTAAAGTTAAATCACCCAAAAAAATCTAGGTGCAGTTCTTAAACTTTTACTCAAGACTTAACCTAAGGGGTTTTTCTTTAGGTCATTAACTAACATAAAAAGGAATGAAAATGATAATGAAAAACAGAAACTAATGAAGAACTATACCAAATTTAATTCAAAACATGACTTCAAAATATCCTCAACCAACAATGCAGAACATAATGAGCAAATGACAGATGCATTAATATCAAATAACAGGAGACTTGGTCACAGAGCAATGATTACCCTAATTGGCATCAAGCTGTCGGGAAGATGCAAGGAACGGAGCTGAGATGGTTCATTCATCTCAGTCAGCTTCCAGATCTTAGATTTCTCCGACTCATCAGCCACTCTTGGTTTCACATCTGGCAAAGTACGACTGTCCCCATTCTGCAAGAAAAGCAAGTTAACAAGTTGAAAAAATTGCAATTTAGTCCACTGAGAACCACTAACATATTGAACAGGTTCCAAGAAACAAAGTTGTTCTGCTCCATGAACAGCGTATCATAAAAAACAAACAGATCTCTTCATAGAAGAATTATGCTAATCCACATGACAGGCATCAATGCTTACCATTCCAAAAATTGCTGTCATTGGTGCACTTCTATCTGCAATACCAATGCTTGTTCCAGTAGTTGAACTCGAAGCACCATATGTGCCAATTATGGGTCCCTGAAAGAAATGGTGCATTCAAAACATGTTCTGTTCATCGGGCCTCTGAAAAGTATCTAAACGATTATTTTACCTTTGCCACAACTGCAGAAGCAGCTCTAGAGGGATCAAGAGCATGATCAAGTGCACGATTTACAATGGAGTGCAACAGCCGAGTACCATCGGCATTTGCAAGTATTTTGATTCCATTATCATTTGTTGAGACAGCAAGCAGAATTCCGTCTTTATTAAAACGTAAGCAAGGAGAAGCCTGAAAAGTGTGTCAAACTTGCAAGCTTAAAAGAGATACTTCTTTAGGAAAACAACTAGTAGTTAACAAGAGAACCATTACCGGCAATCCACCATCAGCATTAATGGCTGCCAAGAGGCTAACATTGTCCATGTCCCAAAATTTGATTTGGAACTCATCACCAGCAGCTAAGAATCGATTTCTTGTTGTATCAAACTGCACAACCCCCACTGACCGCTTTCCAAGACCCAGATATGTCCGTTTGACCGCACCCTCACTTTCATTCCACTCAACAATGTGTGACTCCCCCTCTTTATTAGTCCCACATGAGAATAACCTACAATGAATACATAAATATAAGAACAAAAATGAAATATGAGAAAATAAGACGAAAATGCAGAAAATCAAATTACAAACCAGTAAGAACACTAAAGGAATCATATTCAGGCCACTGAAAAGAAAGAAAAAGAAAACCATACCTGGCCCCATCAGCACTGTAAGCCATTGTTGTGCAGGAATGACCAGGAGCATCATAATCAAGTCTTGAACCCGTGTTATCATACAACCAAGCTTTTATTTTTCCATCAATGGCTGTGGAAAAGATGAACTAGAGGAGGGAAAAGAAATCATCATTCATAAGTTAGCAGATCTAAAATAAAAGAAGAAAATAAGTAGAGACACATTCTAATGACCCAATGGACAAGCCCACCAGTATTCTTATTTTCATACAAAAAAAAATATGGGAAATTTTTTAAGCTCTAGCTTGAAAGGGAAAAAGTTGCAAAACCAGAGACATTAAGATTTAATTTCCTTTTTTTTTATGAATTTTGTTATCATCAACACCTGAGACGGAGGCATAATGACTGAACACATTTCATTTTGGTAAAATTAAGGAGATTTTAATATCCACCCCCATCACCCTTCCCAAGAAAAAGAATTAAAAAAGTTGAAAAGAAGAAAAAGTGCCAAATTTGATACCTGAATGTTTTCCTTATGATGTGGGCACACCGAATAAACAGGGGCTTCATGACCCTCAAAAGTGTACTGCTTATTTCCATTAACAGCATCCCACACCTGCACAACATTAAGAACTTAAAATCGTAGTCAAGGGGCTTACCGTTTCTAATGAACGGAAAATTTCTGAACAAAGCAAACCTTAATTGTCCTGTCCTCTCCACAAGTTATGACACACAACTGTTTGTTTGGTTGAGAGAAAGCAAGATCACTAACATTACCCACATGAGCTTCAATCTGAAGAATAGAAAAGCAATCAGCTGTCAAAATAGTACTTCACAAGGTAGAACTTGTTTTACAGAAGATCAGCCAAATTATGGCAAATTATCATTAATTTACTTGGCGTTTATATGATTAAAAGGCACATAAAATTTATTTATGGATAACTTCTTTCTCCTATTCATGAATGGATATATCATAATGTGAAACATATAACTGACTCATGAAGATGATCTAGGTTTTAAGACTGGATGATAGATAAAAGTGCCAAAAATATGATTGATCTAAAAGAATGTTACACATACCTCCAGATGATTCCTTAAATCATCACTGCCATGATATGAATATATCTGCACAATATGCTTGGAATAAGCAACACCTGTACCAAAAATAGTAAATATGAGGTATCATCACAAGAAGATGCCAAACTGGTGATTAAAAGCTTCAAAAAATATTCATCCACCCCTACAAGAGGTAGAGGCCAGAGAGGCAAGGGGTGCCCAGCAAGTAGCATAAAAGGAAATGCTGTACTCTTTAAAGGGTTATTTTGAAGCTGATATATATGCTTCTTTTAAGCACTTTAAAATAGATTGTCCAATATTTAATAAATAGCACACAACAAATATTAGAGTAGATGTCAACATCCAAATCCACCGGAACATACCCAAAAGGGCACCATCTCGATTCCAGATAACCTGATTCACTGCAGCAGAATACTCACTAGCCAAGGATGCCTATAAAGCAGACATTGGACTGGGATCAGTATGAAAATAAATCCTAAGAACATTGTGCATAAAATCCAACTAGAATTTTCTGATAGATGAAACTTACCTGCAAGGTCACTGAGCGTGCACCAAGATCCCAAACCTTGAAGTTTCTAGAAACAAGCCTCTCTCGGCTCCCTACCTCCCAGATTGTAATATCTCCAATGTTTGTTCCAACTAAAATTTGTGGAAAACATAAATATCAACAGGTCGATCAAACTTCATTTGAAAAAACCTTAGTCAAATAGAAAATGACAAGAGTAACCAAAAAATTTTTTGAACAAAAAGTACTAACCAAGAAGTAAAGTCTGCTGCACAGGATGGAAATCCATACTCTTAACAGTTGAACCTTGTTTTAAATCAGAGAAGACATTCTTGGGCAAATCTTCAGAAGAGTATAACGTATGAACATGGCTCTGGCCAGGGTATCTGACTGGTAAAATATTCACTGGTAGATTATTCATCTGCATGGTAAAGCAAGCCAGGTCCAACTAAATGAGTTGAATACAAAGAGAAGTATGAAAGGAAAAGAAAAGAAGAAAACTGTAAGGATTTACTAAATACCATCCAACATCAAGTTTTAATATAAGCATCTTTTGGCCAACATGAGGAACAAATTGCAAAAAAAAAAAAAAAAGGAGCAAAATATAAAAATTGCTATAAAAAGGATTAAACAATTTCAAAGATTGCAAGCACATGGTTCAAATCTTTAACCTAGTAAGACCTGAGAGAAGGAAAGGGAGAAGATATAGCACCTCTTCAGATATTCCAAAGGGTCTTGGTCTCTTCAATACATTCTCAGAATCTGCAGTTTGATAGTCCATTGCCAGGTTGTTAGTTGGAGGAGTCCTAGGGCGCTTTACCATAGAAGCTATAAAAACCAATATATACAAACAGAAAGGCAAAGAAAAGATCATAAGCCCTACTTGGAAATGAAAAATTAGAATGCAAAAAGAAAATAAGGAATAATTCTATGGGTATATCAAGCAGATTTGGAACAGAAGAAAAATACAAATCAAACAGGTGTGATTAGTCAATGAGAACAATCAAGCTAAATGTGAATGACCATAAAAAAAGTAAAAAGAAAAAAAAAAACAGAAAAAAAAACAAAGAAATGCATATGCAACAGTCATAAAACATAATTTTGCCTCTAAAAGTCAACATAAAAGAACAAAAAAAAAAACAAGGCAAAGAAGAGGATAGTAAATAAAGAATCAATCACCTAAAACACAGGAAGGAAACCAAAATCTTGTAAAATAACCAGTACAACTGTAAAGTAATTAGTTTTCAAATCCAAATCTACCCCTCAATTTTAACACAATATAAAACTGTTGAGAACACACTGATAATTCTAAACATCATTGTTACATTTACTTTAGCAATACTAGAATCAAGTTCTCTATATGATAATACCAGTTATCCAGCAGTATAGACACTCTTAAAAGGAGATGAGAGTCAAAATCAAGAATTACATTCTCAACAGATGAAAAAATGAAAATAGTCTCTCCATAAGAAGTCAGGAGATCTACTTTAATGAAAGGAATTTAGCTTTGGATGTCCCGAAAATATATGCTCATTACATTTTTAAAAAATCATGTATTACCTCTATTAATAAAGATCACCTGCAGACTTCATTATCTGTTAATTAATAGTTTCTTGTAAAAATGAGAAATTTTTTATATCCATTTTCTTGAAATGTAATCATTGTGACAAGATTATCAAGTTTAAAGAGACACAAATGTGTCTAAACCTTTTAAAACGTTAGAGTATACCATGAATGATAATTCAACAGAACTGAATTTCAGCTTATAACTATTACCTGCATTACTAGATGCAGATAAACCAATAGGGCCAGCAGAAAGGGATTGATGTGCCACAGAAGATGGATTAGCCATCCATCCTAAAAGAGATGCCGTAAGTGGTGCCGGGGCTGGAGCTGCTGCAGGTTGAAAAGGCTGAACAAAAAGTAAAGGGATACATAAATAAACATGAAAGACAATGAACAGAAAACAGAACATCTTTAACCCCAACAACAAAGAGTAGTCTGGTTGCATATAGACTTACACCATGTGCACCTATTGGAGGAAAACTGCCAACTTTAGGGATGGACCCCATTAAAGGATTGGTTACAGGTGAAGGAGCACGAGAACCATTTGGAGTACCACAAGCATGGTCTACAAAAAGGGTTTTTATGTCGGGGTTAGGCTTCGGATTCTTGCAAAGTTGGTGCTGCCAATTTAAACTGCAAATCAACAAACAAGTGTGAAAGCATAAACAATCCATGCAACATATAATTTCAAGTCAATAATTAATGCTATAACCAAAACTTTGTTCAATTTACCTCTGATTGATTAGTGTCCTCAACCTAGAACTCTTTAAAGTGGGGAATTGAAGCTTATCACGGAAAAGTGGATTTGCCTCAATCAATTTTTTGAGCTCAACAAGCATTATAGCCCTAGCTGACTTGGTATCTCCATACTTGGATAGCTGCTCATTCTCCCTGAAAATTATCCATAAAGGAACAATGAAACCTCTAAAGAAACACTTCTCACAACTAGATATAATTTTGTTCATTCAGCATAAATAAATGCAAGGAAGTTGACACAGTTCATATCACTAATGATTTACATAAGCAATTATATGTCACAAAAAGAAAAGAAAATTCTCTTCACTTTTTCTTTTTTCTTTCCTTTTTTTTTTTCTTTGCATAAGGTTGTGCACATTTATTTCCTTCATTTGCATAACAAATTACCAGTTTTCTTCAGAAAAGCACAAGGATAGAAATCAAGACTTTAACCCTTCTTTAGCTAAGAGGATATGACACCATGGTAGACATTTGAGAACCGAATCAAAAAACTGTTTGTCAAACGTTGTATGCATTACAAAATTTTTAAGCTCTTAACTAACATATAGAAATGGAGAATCGGCATCTACTTTTTGTCATTAATACATCTTTAAAATGTTTTGTGACCTCTCTAAAACTGATCTCCATGGTATAGAGAGTTCAAAAATCTGCCCCTATACTATGACTCATTATTGAATTTTACCACCATACTTCAATTTTATTGAATTTTGCTATTGTACTTCTAATTTCATTGATTTTTGAACAAGTAACGGAAATGGAATATTTCGCAGAATATTCTTTTACCATAAATGGCATGTTTTGCCATTGCACTTTCAGTTTTGTTGACTTTCAGACAGGTAATGAAATTGAAATATTTCACGAAATATTTTGTTAGGGCAAATGGCAAGTTTTCATTAAATCCATTACTTTGTCTAAAAATCAACAAAATTGAAACTACAATGGCAAAATTCAATGAAATTGAAGTACAGTGGAATAACTCAATATTGACCTATAGTACAGTGACAAAGCTGACCTTAATTCCATTTATAATAAACCATACTCAGCACAGTTACTGCTAACACTTTGTAAGGAATCATATATTCTGAAAACATCCAAAAAAAGGTTTTATTGTTTAATGAAATTTCCATACTGAAATTTTATACTATTAATATTACAAAATCAATACCAATAACCTACAATCAAATCCCAAAATAACAAAAATAACATAAACTCATTTTTATCTGAATAACATAATAGTACTTCTTAATCAAAAAGAAAGGATGTTTCTGTCAAAAAAAAAAAAAGGATACGACATTCTTTTTTAGCACTCAAAATTGAGTGTTTTGTTTATCTACTATACCAAAGAAAGAACGTTTCTATCAAAAAAAAAAAAAAGAAAGAAAGAAAGGACATTCATTTTTAGCACTCAAAATTGAGTGTTGTGTTTATCTACCATATCAAATGATTAAAATAGAAAATTGGAATTTCAAGGAGAAAAACCGAAGGGAGGAGAAAAGCTAAATGCTTTGATATTATTCATTCATTTATTTTTATTACTATTATTTAGCTAATATTGCAGTTTCTATTTAGACCACGGATACATTTAGACTTAAAAATCCTAATAACCTTTTTCTCCCAAATGCATGACACATAATTTCCTAAGGCATTCCATTTTATTGCAAATGAGCATACCTACACTTATACATTAAATCACCCAAACTATAACACACTTGAACACCATAGAGATACTCAATTATGCATTTTCCAGCAGTAAAACATTTACATTCCCAAATCATCAAATACAAGCTTCTTAGAGCAATAATGATCAAACATGCTTCAAAATAACATGCACATTAATAAGGATACCATACCCAACAAAAACATTTTTACAATTACCTAAAGTTTGCCAAAGTCAATAGCAATGTAATTTCCTTAAAAAGATCTTCATTGAAAGTCGAAAACACTTTCAAATCTTTCACAAGAATCTCCACAGCTGTACCATGATCACGCCTGGCATAAAAGAATGACGAAAATAATTAAAACAAAAAGAACGTGCATATAAGAAAAACATTTTCTCGAATACTTATAATTCAATGAACTTACTTGTCGAGGGCTTCAAGGTACTTTTGCTTTCGAATCTCGAAGAAAATTTTCATAGAGTAACGATTATCATCAACTTTTGTGTATCCAGACAAGTACTTCTCGACTTCATCCCATTCCCCATTGATTACACAATCCTCAAAATATCGCATATTGAAGAAAAATCCTGACTCTTTCTCCAATCTTTTTTTAACCGTCAAAACAAACACAAAATAATAACCATTAAAGTTAAATTTCGATCATTTCAAGGCTCAAACTAATAACAATTATAGAGTTCGAGAAAATTGTAACTCAAACTAATACATGAAATTCCTTAGCATTTTCATTTTTTATCCCATGTTTCAAGGAAGCTAAGTAAAATCAAATTGAATAAAAAAAAGATAGTGAAAATTAAACTTACCTGTGAACAGTTTCTTTGAATTTCTCTTCTTCAAGGAACTGAAGTATGAGAAATACCAGTTCTCTACTTAACGAAGACATTTATTCCTTCCCTTTCCCTCCTTTCTATCCCTCTCTTCGATCAAACAAAAAAGAAATCAAAAAACAAAAAAAAAAAGAGAAAAAACCTAGCAGATCGATTAAAAACAAATTCAACAAAAAGAAGATAAAGAAACACAAAAATTAGGGCTAATTTCACCGACCCAAACTAAAAATAATTTGGTGCTTTTGGATTGACTTTAAGAAAGAAAAACAGAAAAAGAGAGGGAGAGAGAAGCGCAGATCGAGACTAAGGCAGTTGTGAATAACGACGAGGCAGTGAGTCGTTTTATATGGTGAGGTGTTGCACTTGGCTTTTTCTCTGCAGAACTAAATACAATAGAAGAAAATAAAAACGAAGAAATAAGTGTAATTAGAAAAGAGGATAAATTTGCCATTTATATAGCCGGGGTACTGCCGGAAGTGGGGAGTAAATACCGTACTACCAACAGTATTGAAATTAATGGACTTGCATTATTTATGTCATTTCAACTGTATGTGTCTGTGTCTATGGGTAAAGGCCAAAGCCATCCCATCCATCAAATTCTTAATTATTGATGCAAAGAAATTTCCTATGATTTTCTTTCTTCACCTTTTTGAATTTTGAGATGTTAGACTATTTTTTGCCTTAATTGACTCACTGTCACTACTATTACATAACATTTCTCAACTTTTTTTATTTTTAATAGTTTTCTCAATTTTGAATTTAAATTTAATGGTTGAAATACGGTTGCTTTGAATTTTGATTGAGACGCCAATATTTATTTTCTTTCTTTTGCTTTCATACATAAAAAGTAAAAAATATAATATTTTTTAAAAAATTTAAAAATAAGAGAATAATTACATACCTTAAAATTTAAATTTAAATTTATTAAATATTATTTTTTAAAAATAATTATATGAAACTATTTAAATTAATTACTGAACTTTATATTCATGTATCAATCACCCTACCTTTAATTTGAAGAAAACAAAATAGATATAGTAATTTGCTTTCATTCTTTGGATCTTATTTTGATGGTCGAAGATTAACAATGTTCCATCAACTTATGTGTGGAGCATGAAATTTCAATGGTCTACACCACACCATACTTGTCTCTTTCGAAGCATTTACTATATTGTTATATTTTTTTCCAAACTTTTCGTCATTACGCGCCCCAGAGCGAGTGTGATAATATATACCGGACTAACATGTAGACGAATGAACGTGCCCAACTAATTCACAAAAGTCTCACACGTTGATGAAATTAATTGGCCTGCGTTACTCATTTGTCGATTTAAGCACTTAATCACGCCGATGGTTAGAATGGTTTATTCTCAGTGATAAGGCCCGGCTTTGGAGCAGTGATAAGCCAACGCACTTATTACAAACGGTTTCTCAATGTGATAAGTAGTTAGACTTATCATCGTCTAGAATTGCGTGTACTTGGAGAAGATGCAAAGTTACTTTAATTTTTTAATTATTTCTTTTTCAAGTAGACAACGTGAGGGACATTTTAATTATCAATGGAATAAAGGTGCATGGGCGGTGGTGTATCGTAGTTTTATTCACGGAAGATTAGATTTGATAAATTAAAATGTAATAAAATAATATAAAATATATATATTAGATATATTATTCAAAATTTTAATAACAATTATAGATGAATTTAATAAAATAAAAATTATATTTTATATTTTATATTGATATATATTATAATATATAATTTTTATAAAAAAATATAATATAAATTATTAAATTTAAGAAAGATGAAAAAAGTAAAATAGAAAGTTTGGAAGCTATTATTTGACGTGATCATCTTACATTTTGCATTTCTGTAGATGCCATCAGGCATGGACGGATTTATGCTGGGACAGGGAGGGCAACTTTTTTCATTGAATTCCTGCAATCTTTTTTAAATATATTATAATTATAGATAAAAATTTTAATATTTTAATATTTTATCTTCACTAAATTGAAAAAGGAAAAATATAAAAGAGAAAATTTTTAAAATATTATAAAGAATAGATATACTTCAGTAAAAAAAAATTGGCTCATCCTAAAAGAAAATAAAGTATTATATGCAAATATTAATAAATTTTAACTTATAAATAATTATTTTATATAACTCTCACTCTCGCTAACTTAAATCACAATTTAGTATTATTTCTCTTTTTTGCCCTCATCTGTCTATTATTTTGTATTTTCATATCTTATCTTATGTCTTAAAAATTGTAGAGAAATTAAATTAGTATTTGATTTAAGTTAATTAAAAACAAATATCATTAGTAAGAGAAAGTGAATTTTAAAGGAAATATCTAAAATTGAATAAAGTTATATATCTTTTAATATTGACAATGACAAAAAAATCCTACATTTTTTACTTATAAAAACTATTTAACTCAATTATAGAGTACTATTTTTATTTGAAAAATGATAATATTATATATCTGTGTTTATTTAATATTTAAATTTTCAATGTATTTAAAATTAGAAGTTTTTATTATATTTATGTTAATTTCTATTTAAACTTTTTATATATTTGATATTGTAAAAATATTTCAAATTGTTTTATTAAAACTTTGTTTTACATTTAGAAAACATTACCTTTACATTAAATAAAAAATTTTAAGTAAATATATTATATAACAAATTTGCCCCCACTGAAAAAAAATCATAGATCCATCCCTACCAACAGGTCGAAATCCTCGAAATATATATTTTTCTCTATAATTTTGTAAACATAATTTTTTATTTTTCAAATTATATAAAAATGACAATGCAATATTTTTTTGTAAGATCATTATTATTTAATATTTAAATTTAATTGTATAGTTAAATTTAGTGTAAAATTTAAAAATATAATTATAAAATTTTTATTTTAACATATAAAAGTATTTTCTTCTCTTGTTGTTATATATATATATATATATATATATATATATTGATAATGTGATAAGGTGTTTTTTAACATTATTTAGAATTTATAATAACATGTACCCACACTTCGAAGTGGATTTTTTTTTGGCAATGTACAAAAAAATTAATAAAAAATGAAAAAAATGTAAACCTTGAATTAAATTTGCAATTTTATATATCATATGATACATATAATAAAGTTTAATTTTATCCAACAAACATAAGTTCATATCATAAATTAAAGAGATGGAATAGCATTTTAGTTTTAATGTAAGTAAATATTAGTGTTCAATGAGGGTTGCTATTGACGGTAACATTTCTTATGATCATTTTTTGTATTTTTTGTATTTTTAATTTATTTATTATTATTTTAACATAAAAATAATAACAATTTTAATGCACATGAAATATTATAAAAATATTAAAAGTTAAAAAATTTTAAATATAATATTTAATATATTATGATTATTATTTTGTTATTGACTTTTCATGCTATGTTATGAATATTGTGATTTTTTTAATATTTTATCGATTATATGATTTTTTATTTTATTGTATTTTTTTTGTGAAAATAAAAAATCAAAACAGTGTAAAATATAATTTTTAATTAAACAATTTTGATTTTTATGTATTTTATATTTATATTTATTATATATTTTTAACATTTTAATCTTTTGTTTATTATAAATAATAAATGATAATTTTTATATTTTGAAATTTTGAAATTTTCTTTCCTTGGCAACATTTGTTTTTTCTGCCAATGGTAACCAATTGAAAATTTAAATTGGATTTTCTTTACTTGAGGACAAAATTTATTATTATTATTATTATTATTATTATTATTATTATTATTATTATTAATTCATTGGTGATTATTGATATTTATTTTTTATTTTTTTCATGAAAAATATTTATTTATAAAATATTATAAAATATTAAAAGTAAAAAATTTTTATATTTATTTTTTATATGTAACGGTGATGATGACAATTAAGACATGGGGCCTAAAGCAAAACCTTGGGCTCTCTTTTATGAAATGGAACCCACCTAGAAAAAGCCAACATCCATCTAAAGAGATCATCGAAAAAAATTTTCTTAAAAAAAATTAAAAATCAATAGTTCTGACTCTTCTGAGTTGATGATTGTTAAGTTCTCGTGCTCCCACTTTATATCTGATCATCATCATGGCCACCATTCCCATGTTTCTCTCCTTTCTCCTCCAATTTCTCATCATTTTCACGACAATAGCTTTTTTCCCTCTTGTCACTAAAAGAAGAAGACCTACTAGAATCTTCCAACCATTATCATAAGAAATTTTTGTTCCATAATATGAGCCCCTCCTTTTTGGGTCCTGTTTCATTTACTTTCTTAATTTTTATACCCTTTTGTGAATTGAAAACATCTACCTAAAGAGCTTATTCATTCTAGTTTTGATTAATATATTAATCAGACTATTTTGTTTTTTTTTGCCCTTTCTTTTGTTCCATAACTCTTTTTTTGTCCTAAAAATACCTTTCAAATGATTTTTTTTACATTGCTAATATGTCTCTCCAATAGATAATGGAGACTACTTTTATATATTACTAATGGTTAGGGCTTGACTTCACCCGATTTGTGGTATTGCTTTTTTGTGTTGTGTTAAATTAATATTTTATTGGGTAATTGTAATGTTAAGTAGAAAATATTAATTGTTAAATAAAGAATTTAATAATTTTCAGCTAGTTAATTCTTTAAATGTAAGGATTTTGTAAAAATTATTGATAAAATAAACAAATAAATTTGAAATTTGTAATGTTTATTATAAATAAGATTGTATGCAGTTCAATTATTAAGATTAAAACAACATACAATGTTGTCAAAAGATAAAAAATAGATAAAAAAACAAACTAAGAAGTTTAATATTATGACAAAGTCAAAAAGATCCAAAAGAAGACATAGCCAAATTGATTTGTTCCAATGTTATTGGAGGCTAATTTATTCATAGTTAGTATAAATAATTACTTGAAAAGTATTCTATGCAATCATGGCAAATAAGTAGTAATTAACGATCTTTAAGTGGTTGTCGATGACAAATTTTTTCTATCTTCCTAACAATTATGAAAATAAAAATAACATAAAATGTTGTCAAAAGATAAAAAAAAAAAAAAAACAAACAAACAAACAAACTAAGTTACTATTATCTCTTTATTTTCCTTATTCATTGTATATATTGATTAACTCAGAATTAAAATACATCTTTATAAGCATAATTACCCATAAAAAAAATATCTTTATAGTTTAAAGTGTATGAAAAGGTAATATTGGTTTAATAGAAATGTATAAACTCACGAATTTGTTTAAATATTCTGTGAAATTTTAATTCACTTTGCAAATAAGTTATTGTTGATCATTATATCCTAACTTAATTAAGAATAGAACATTGATTCTCCTAACTTAGTTCACTTTGTATGAAAATGTTATACACATGTAATACATAAACTAACCATTTTTTGTCCAAGTTAAGCAGTTACAAATTCCAATGAATATTAACATCAAGTCAAAACACATCATATTTTTTTCTATTTAATATAAGCTAATTTGTTTTTACTCCTAAACATACATCTTAATAAGTAACTTTACTAATTA